AAAGCTGCTCTGATGATGGAAATGAGCATCAAAGTGAACCAGAGGCTTTGTCCAATGGTTTTGTTGTTCAGCCGGTGCCAGCTGCTGTCAGCAGAGGTCTTGCAAGGATTGGAGAAAAAAAAAAAATGGCCACAAGTTTTCAGAAACAGCAGAGGTGAGACTTGGTCTTCCCAAAACCACAGAGAGTAGAGGAAAGAGTTTAAAAGGGGAGAAACCCGAAAGCCATGGGGCTGGAGAAGGTGGGAGTTATGCGTTAGATGGTATGGACCAAAGAGAGGACAACACACCTAACAGTACTCCAAACCCTTCCCAAAGTGAACTTCACAAAGAAAAGAAGCCAAACAGCCTCTCGGTGACCTGCGACATTTGTTCAGCCACTTTCAGGTCCAAGCCTGGCCTTACCAGGCACAAAGCTGTCAAGCACCAGGTGAAGAACAGTGGTGTGCCACAGCCCAGCAAGACTCCCAGGTCCACTTTGATTCCTGCAGACAAGACATCGAAAGGAGCCCAAAAGGTGCCCAGGAGGAGCCTGAAGACTTCAGTCAAAGACAAAACCAGCAGCTTGCAGATGCCGATTGCCAACACTGAACATGTCCCCAAGAAAATATGCCCAGACCTGGAGAAAGAGCCCAGCATGCAGATGCAAGAAGTGGTCAGCAGAGTGCTCAGTGACCTCAGCGTGATCTCCTTTGAGATGTCCCAGGAGTTGCATCACACGCATGTTCTGCAGAGGGAGATGAAGGCAAAGGGACCACTCTCGGAGATGAGGGGAGCGGGTGGGGTGGCAGCTGGGAAGCCAGCCTCAGAACGGCAAACCAGGAAGGGAGAAAAGGGCAGAAGGAGCCAAAGCAAAGATCCTGGAGAGGTGAATGGCAATTCTGAAAAGAAGCTAAACAGAAAAGTGAGACGAAGGAAAGCAAAAGTATTTCCCAGCAGAAATGAGCCTGATGGGCCATGTGAGGCAGAGAAGAATGCAGGTCCTCGCTCTGCTTTCCTCAGCTCCGATCTGCCCAGGATCATGGAGGACTTGCATGAACCAGGTGGCTACATCTCCACAGAGGAGCAAGATAGCTCCAACTCAGCCCAGCATTCTCAAAAAGCCAAACAGTCCCCTTGTGCAGCTGAGCTTGCAGAGGACCTGGGTGACAGGATGGTGTCTTCAAAGGAGATGGTCGACGAGGAGCTACTAACGAGCACAGCCACCTGTCCCACGGAGGCAGAAGATCCAAATGGAGTGGAAGAAACGCAGGCTTGCAAAAAATGGTTTGTGAAGCAAGTGGAGAAGGAATTGGGCAAGATAGGCAAAGAGGAGCATCATGGTGCTGCTGGTGCAGAGGAGATGGATGCTGAGACAGGCAGCAGCGCTGGCAACCGGAGTGGTGGCCCACAGGATCCTGCTGCCGAAGGGGATCTGCTGCTGGAGACACATGATTCGGAAACCACCCAAAAGGTTCCCGGGCAAGGCACTCTGCAGACCCCCCCAGGGACCAGCTCTCCTCCTGCAGAGCCAAAGGGAGGGATGGAGGCCGACGTGACGGCGAGCAGAGGGCTTTGCGTGGAGAGCACAGCCGTCTCGGATCTCCAGAACCTGTTGGACGATGACTCTACGTTCTCCCAGTTGTTCCCCCGGGACGACCAGTTTGTCCGGAGAAAGTGCACACGGGTGTACGGGAAGCGCAGCAAGAAACCCAAGCCCGTCACCGAGCTAAACCTCCAGCCAGCGGGCGCCGTTGACCTCTTCACCATCCGATTAGCTTCTGACCTCAGTGAAACCAGCTCTTTCTGTGTCACCAGGGAGGACCCTTGCGAATACGAAACCATCTCTGTTGATGATGCCTTAATGCTAAACATGTGTCATGGCAACAAGGCAAAGAGTGGAGATGCTGTTCCCAGTGGATCTGTAAGCATTTCGCCTAGGTCAGACTGCGAGAAGACTGACCAAGGGAAGGAGGACATTGACCTAGAAGACAACATGCTGACCTTCTTGTGTCAAAACAGCCAAGTGGACAGCATCCCCAGCTTGAACATCTGGGGGAGTCTGGAGAAGGAGGGAGAAAGCCTCTCTGCCGAGGACATGTTTGAGCCTCTGATGGACCCTGAGGATGAGCACTCGCTCAGAGAAACGAGCTCCGAGCCCCCCGACCTGATGGAGGAGCCCTACGGTGGCAAGGCTAACCAAGATTCAGACTCTGCTGAATTTCATACCATTGACATTGAGATGCTGAACGCAAAGCTGAAAATGAGGGACATGTGCTTCTTCGGCCCATGTGAAGATCTTCCTGGCCATGGAGAGAACAACGCTGTGAGTTTCAAGCCAAAGCCGGGCCAGCAGAGCAAGCAGAGGGGTAAGCTAGAAGATGGGAAACTGGGGAAAAACCGCAGTGAGGTAACCATCAAGACCAAAGACAAGCAGTACAAATGCAAAGTCTGCTTCCAGTGGTTCCTGACATTAGGGGAGCTGGACTTCCACAAGCTCTCCCATAACCCTTCGCCTCCACCCACCTGCTACATGTGCGTCCAGCGCAAATTCAGCTCCCGGGAGCAGCTGAGGGACCATCTGAAGGAGAAGCACGCCAGGAACAAAGCCGGTCTGTGGGCTTGTGGCATGTGCCTGAAGGAGATCTCCGACGTCTGGATGTACAACGAGCATCTCCGGGAACACGCCACCCAGTTCGCTCGCAAGGGGCAAGCACAGAAGTCCGTGATGGGCCTGCCGGCCTGCTTCAGTGAGGACAATGCTGCTGTCACCCATTTCCTCAACACCATCATGTATCGGAAGCCCAGCAGGTCTTCCCGGCATGCCAACCCCAGCAGCAAGCATGCGGTTAGCGGAGAGAGCAAGAACCTCAAGGAGCTGCCCCTTGACCAGGAGGCCAAGGCAATAAAAGATGCCTTGGAGAGCAACATCAAGGTGAAGTCACCTGCACTCAGCTCCTCTAAAGCATCTGCTAGTCCATCTCCAGAGCACATGGCAAAAGGCGAAGGCGCCCCAAAATCTGTCCCCATGCACCCAGACTGCAAGGACCCTTCCAGGGACTGTCATCACTGCGGCAAACAGTTTCCCAAACCTTTCAAGCTCCAGCGGCACTTAGTTGTGCACAGTTTACAGAAGATTTACTTGTGCCACAAGTGTCCGATGTTCTACCAGGAGACCAAAGAGCTCCGAAACCACCTCAGCCAGGAGCACAGCATAGTGGAGGAGCAGGAGATCAAGCACACCACCCTGTACGCCTGCGAGCTCTGCGCGGACGTCATGCATGTCATCAAGAAGTCCTTTATCTGCAGCATGTGCAACTACACCTTCTCCAAGAAAGAGCAGTACGACCGGCACATGGAGAAACACCTGGCTGGAAGCAACAAGACTTTAAAATTCAGAGGGGTCATGAGGCCTGGTGTCGCCTCCAGGGAGGGCAGAGAGAAGGTGAAAGAGGACGGATCACTCCGAGAGAGCATGCCGCCGAGCAAGAAGAGGAAGGTGGCTCACCACGGCAGCTCACTCCCGCGCAGCTCGCCGGTCCATGTAGACCACACTAGTGACCTTCACCTGGCAGCACCTGCAAGCCCCAGCCTGCAGACTCCCACTGACCCCTTCCCTACAGCACCTGGTGACCCAGAAGCACCCCAAGCCTCCATGAAAGCGGAAGACCTGGTGGGTGACTTCTCCGACCTCCTGGCAGAGATGGAGAAATCCCAGTCTGACACCCTGCCTGCCCCAGCCTGTCTCTCCGCGTCTTCACCGCAAGCTGCGGTGAGCAGCCCGGATCTTGGCCGTATCGCTGCCCTGTCTATCGAGGAGCTGGAGAAAGGAGCGTTTGAGGGGAAACCTCTTCCTTTCTTGGACTCGCCCGAGCTTACCATTGACCTTGCCGGGCTGGCTTGTAACCAGGCCACAGACCAAAAGCTCTCTCCTCCACATCTGACGGAGAAATGTGGCTACGCCGATGCCCATAAAACAACGAGCATAGGTGACAAAGACGAATATATAGCGTGTGTCCTCAAAAATCCCGGTGCAGCCACCGACACCGTGGATGGGATCCCATTTCTCCAGGCTGCCGAGGTCTCAGAGCTTCCTTCCCCACAGGCAGAGGCTCCACCAGCCAAGGAAACTCACAGGTGGGACAACCCCAGTGCCAGCGATGCCTCTTCTTGGGAAGGTGCCTCTAAGGCCGCGTCTCCAGAAGGTCCCCATCATTCTCTGCCCCTGAAGGACAAGACGGCATCGCCCACACTGAACAGGGCTGCCAAAGATGTGGTCCTGCAGAAGAAGACCGCGGGTAGCCAGCCCATCAGTGAGACTGCTCCGAGCGTGGGCAGCCCTGGTGGCAGTGCCGAGGAGGGTCAGCAAGTCGTCTTGGGGAGGGAGAAAGCCATGCCTGAGGCTAAGGACAGTAGCACTAACACCAAGGGCCAAGGTGACAACCCAAGCAAATCCACCAGCCAGCAGCCCAGAGGTGAGGTGCCCGGCAACACCGTTCGACATGGCCACATGGAGCCAAGCAAAGCCACCAGCAAGCTTCACCCCAAGAGAAGGAAAGAGCATAAGTCCTTGAGCCACCGGAGCAGCTCCGGCTCCCGGGAAAACATGGAAGGAGATGGGAAAAAGAAAAAAGCCCGGACCCCTTGCCCAGGGAGGAGCGAGAGCGCCGGTGAGCTCAAACGTGCCGGCTGGGGCAAAGCCGAAGGTT